TAGAAGAATGTAGAATATACTGGAATGGAAGCTACTGCCACTTGCTCCAAGAAGTTAGATTAGATTCCAAATTCAGTGGTGTATAATGGATTCTTGTTTTACCACTTGTACAAAGTTGTTATAATTTGTGTATATATACTTGTAACCTTCTTCCATTTTTAATTAATGAAAAGAGATACAACAGAACGTTTTCTATCTGCTTCCTCCATTCAGTTTTAGATACATCATTGCTTATTTAATTAATCAACATTCATTTAGCCATTTTTGTACTACTTTTGAATAAATTTGACTAATTATCTAAAAGTATTTATCTAGTTAGAAGAGTTTTTAGATGATGTTCACTTAAAATAACTTTCTCAAGAGCTCTACTATAAGCAATAGAAGTTGTGTCAAATAAGCCCTTAACATTCCTTTTTAGGGGTTGACAAAAGAATTGTAACCCTAAAGAGAGAAAAGGTTAAAACTCTGATAACTTTGTTTCATTTAAGTTTCTTGCAAAGATAGAAATTTCAGCCTTCATTTGTCTCTTATACTCATTTTTAATCACACATATCCACAATAAAATATTTTACACATAAAATCAAAAAAAAAATTCATATTTTCTAGCCACATATTCTATCAAAAATCACTATTTAAAATACCATTTTTTAAAAAAAAATAATGGCAATCAAACCGGGCTCAAATAAATGATTTTTATTTGTCAATTAATTGGATCTGTACCCATTTGACCAACAATGACTTTCTTTCTTTTTTTCTTTTTTTTTTTTAAGAATTCTTTGATGGATAGTAGTTGTTCAGTTCCAAATTGTGAGGCCATCACGAAATAGCATCTCCAACTGTATTAAGGTCATCTCCAACCTTACATCAAAATTTGAGGTCAATTTTGCACCATTTTACATTAAATCTTACATTAAAATAAAAATCATCTCCAACCATTACACCAAAACTTACATCAAATGAATAGTGTTTAATCATTTTCTTCTCTTTTTTTATTCTTAATAATTTATTTATTTGAAAATTATTTATTTATTTATTTTACAAATATATAAATTAATATAAATGATTACGTTAAATTAACGAAAATATTAAATTCATTAATAAATATAAAAAAAATATAGTAAAATTAATAAAAACACTACAAAAAGGAAAATATTAAATCATGTCATTAAAAAGTAGTGCAATACATATCAAAGTTCGATATTATTGTAAAGGATCTGAAAGTTCACTTAATTTGTTTGGAAATTATTTTGATGATATTGGAAGATCTGGAAGCGATCTTCCAGATTACTAAATTATTTACTTGTTTTATGTATCGTTTTCTTTAAAATATATTCGTGTTAACTTTAAATAATCGTGTTTGTTATATTTTAAGTTTTTTGTGTTGCAATTTTAATTAATTCACTAATTATTTTTTTTACATTATTACAATTTGTTTTAAATTTATTGTATTAAAAAATAATAATAATAATAATTTATTGTATTAAAAATATATAACAGAAATGATACAAATACCCTCCATCAATTAGTTTGACAAATAACAAAAGGGAAAATTAGACTTTGCACCATTTGACGCAAAATGGTGCAAAGTGAATAGTATTGCACCAAATACGGTCAAATGATGTAAAGTGAATAGTGTTGCACCAAATACTTTGCACCATTAAGTTTGGCGCCACCAAAATTCGGTGCATTTCGTTGTTATAGTGCTAGCTTTTGGAGATTGCCTAAGGGTCATTGAAATGGACAAGTGGTCATTGTCACAAGTTGTACATAAAATAATAATCAGAAATAATGAGCCGCAACCATCTTCAACCCTAAGATAATTACGACTGTTAGACCATCAATTAGTCAAGACAACTCTCCGATTATATCATGTGATAACTGATTGACTAATGCGTTGTATATAAATTCTCATCATGTGAGTTAATAATAATTGATAACATCAATAAAATGAATTTCATATTCATACATTTAATCGATCTCATTAGTCACATTGCGTGAGGATAATCTCAATTTACACATCGATTATTCTAACAAACTACATCATTCAAATTAAGGGTTGGATTAATTTATACTAGTCCACACTAAGCAAAAGCCTTTTTACAGTAATCGCGTCTCTTTTTCTATCTGCGAGAAGTCAACCGAACAATATCAGACACCAAAGAAAAAAAGAGAGAGAAATTTAGTGTGTGTTTGGTAGGGATTTTTTGGGGGAATAATTGATTTTGAATAATGATATGATGGGAAATGTATGGTTGAAAAAAAAGATAGATTATTGATGTGATAGAAAATATTATTTTATTGAAAAATGTGTGGTTGAAAATGAGAATTGATTTACTGTTGAAAATGAGAATTGATACCAAACATAGCCTTAACTTGTTTATTGAACAAAAAATTTCAAACTCTGTGTCATTGTCATACTCCTCGTCAATCTTCGTGTAAATAATAGCATTTTAAGCGCAATTAAATGTGTCCTAATTAGCCGCCCTCATTAGTTTTCTTCCCCTTTCTAAATAAATAACATTTTTAAGTTATGTTGAAGTCTAAATCTGAATAAATAAATATTTTGTTTCTATTAACTTAAATTTTTAGACGAAAAAATTCAAGATTTTCAACTACTAGGTCGTTATTTTCGTTAATCAAGCTAATATATTTGGAGGAAAAAGAAAATAATGAATTATTTAATTTACATATCAATCCTCATTAGCACAAACTCATTTTCCTAAAACTTTTCTTTAGTCTAATCCAGAGATAGGAAGTCGACCAAGTAAAAAATACTTGAAGCAATAACAAAATTAAGTCACTATGATTGTATTTTTGAAGAAATTCAACTACATTTTTCAATAAATGAAAATATATATGTTAATATTTAATTACAATTACGAGCATATATCAAAGATAAGATGAAGATCAATATCAATATCAATATCACATGAAAATATATAAAAATCCCATGAAGCTTGTATGCAAGTTTGGCTATGCTCTAAGGAAATATGTCAATGTTCAAATAAAATATATTTTGTTGGTCAAAGTTATTAATTTTAAAATAAACTACTCCTTTACTGTAGAAATAATTAAGTTTTTATCATAAATACAAGAAAAAGTAACTTATTCAATGTTGACTAAGCTTAACAAGTTTACTAATAAGTAAAAATGTAAATTATTTTATTAATAGAATTTAAAAATAAGTAAGTTACTCATTTTAATGTTAGGGTGACAAGAAATTATTTTAAAAAGTAATTTTTTTTTCATTTCGAAGTGAAAAATCAAATATGTTTTAGAATATAAAGCTACTTAAAAAGTAATTCTAAAAAATTACATGAAAATAAGTTTAAGTAACTTTTAAACTTAGCTAAACAAGATAATATATGTGGTTAAAATAAAGAGTTGAGAGATCTACTATTCAATTTTTGTTGTCCACCAAATTAATTATTGACACATTATTTTTGAATTAACATTTCATCTCAAATTTACCCTTGTTAACTTCACAACTAACTCACCAAAGTGATGACGTGTTAATTTAAAATGGCGTGTCAATAATTAATTGGATGGACAGTAAAATTCAGATAGCAGATCTCAACTCTAAAATAATCAACTGTTTGGAATCAATTAAAATTTAGATTTTAATCAAAATTAAATTCGATATTAATATAAGTCAAAGTCGACAATTAATTTTAATCATATATTTCATAGGATCCACAACTTTTCAACTATACATTTCATCAATTTTTATCAAAATTTACTAAAATTTAATTTTATTCGCTATCAAACAAGAGTTAAATCAAGTGGAAATTGAAAGTGTAAAAAAAGTAGTGATTTGGAGTCCCAAAAGCCAAGAATAATGTGTTGAACAATCACAATCACTCTCAAAATTCGAACGGCCCACAACTTTAATAATTTATAAAAATCTTTAATGATATTATGTCAACCACATAGACAGCGTTGAATAGCTAGCCGGGATACGCTAATTCGCCCATCCCCTCCTTCACTATCACGTGCTCTTTATTTCCGCTAATCATACCCCCATTCCTTCACTTGCACATTAAAATAAACAAAATTGCACCATTACTCTTCTACATTTTAAAATTGCACCAACTTGATTATTAATATTTTCCTTTCAACAATAAGTCCTATGTGATGAAAGTGTTAAACTTTTCGTTAAATTGTCACGTAACCCTTGTCAAAACACGTCATGCTTCAAGTTTTTGCACGGGATCTTGCAACAATTTAACATAGATGTCAAAGGTTTCCTTCACTGGGTAGGATTTTTTTTCGTACAATTTTCATCATTTGACTTCGAATTTCATCTAATTAATGTCGTATAGTCTTGAATCAAAGTTTCTTGATCCGAATGAACTATTGAATATTTGTATTTTGATTCTCGAACTTTGGAATTTTTCGCTCATTTCTTTTAATTTCACTTCAATCATTATATTTTACTTAATAAACGAAATATTCAAGAAATTTGGCTTAACTAATTATAAAAGCCCTTCAATGTCTGTATTTATAGGACCAGATAAGTATATAAATTACACTTACAAAGATACCATCCAAATTCTCTATTAATTGTCATACGATCTTTGTCAAAATATGTTTTGCTTCAAATTTCTAAATCTAGCTCAAATTCTAGAATCAAACCTAGCATTATGAAATAAGACATACAAGACTGCATGATGATATATAATAGATTTAGACAGTTTCGTCTGTACGGACTGGTTGTGCTTTGCAACTCTATCGAAAGATTTATAAACAACTTGTTACGTTTTAAAGGTTAGAAGTTATTTGCTACTAAAAGAATAGATTGGGGACCATTGGTGCAATTTTCCCAGTATAGAAAAATCAACTCCAAAGTCATTCTATATAGAGAAGAGAACTCCCGTGTATCTTACACAGTCGTAGACTTCTCTTTTATGTTCCTTCTTTCAATTTTCTCTCTTTAACCAAAAACCACATAAAAAAACACAAAAATCTTAAGCCATTTGATTTTGAATCTAGAATTAGCCATGGAATGGGTCCGAGGTGAAAAATTGGGTCATGGAAGTTTTGGGACGGTGAATTTGGCAATACCAAGAAGCCAGAATGCTCAAATTCCACCATTGATGGCCGTGAAGTCTTGTGGAGTTTCTCGCTCCGATTCACTTGTGAATGAGAAATTTATATTGGATGAGCTTAGAGATTGTCCGGAAATCATTCGTTGTTTAGGAGAAAGTTTTAGTTATGAAAATGGAGAAAAATTGTATAACGTATTGCTGGAGTATGCCGCCGCCGGCGCCTTAGCTGATAGGCTAAAGTGTGATGAACGGTTGCCGGAGTTTGAAGTCCGGAAATACACAAAGGATTTACTCAAAGGGCTGAATTATATACACAAATTTGGTTATGTTCATTGTGATATTAAGCCTCAAAACATTCTTTTGGACAAAAATGGTGGAGCAAAAATCGCCGATTTTGGGTTGGCAAAGAGAGCTGGAAGGGAAAAAATGGGTGTTTTTGGGTGTGAATTGAAGGGTACAGTTCTTTATATGTCACCGGAGATGGTCTCGGGAGGCGAACAGGGCCCCCCGGCGGACATATGGGCACTTGGGTGTGTGGTGTCGGAGATGGTCACAGGAGCTCCGGCATGGAGGTGCTCCGATGTGACGGGGCTGCTAATGAGAATTGGTGGTAGCGCGGAGGTGCCTGAAATCCCCGGAAACTTATCTGACGAAGGGAAAGATTTTCTTGAAAGATGCTTTGATAAAAACCCAAGTACAAGATGGACGGCTGAAATGCTACTAAATCATCCATTTATTGATGATAATCAAGATTTTGATGACAAAGTTACAAAAAATGATGGACAAAAAAATGTTGTCTCAACCTCTCCAAGATGTCCATTTGAATTTCCTGATTGGCCGTCATCAGGTACATGTTCAATTACATCTTTGCCCTCACCGGAATATACTCTGGAATCCGGCTCTAGGTTGCGGCCGGAGCCGAATGCGACAATTTCACCAGCGAGGCGGCTGCGCGAACTAGTGACCATCGATCAAAATCCTGACTGGGATGAAGATGATTGGATGACCGTTAGATTATAATTTCATCAAGAAAATAGAATGGTCAGATTCAAAGTTTTGAAGATTTCTTTCTTTCTTTCTTTC